GCAAGAAGCGGATAACGAGGTGAAGGAGAGAAGGAGGAAGGAGAGGAGCGGTCATCAGCGGAAAGATTAAGAGGAGGAGCAAGGACCTCCGGCGAAACCGGTCATCGCGGTTCGTTCATCCGCGTAAACGCGTCCTCACGGGGGAGATCGCAAGCGCGGAGCCATTAGGCCAAATGTACACGAGCGAATTGCGGGGAAACTGTCGCGGTCACGATTGTTTTAGGAGAATAGAGACGCGAAGTTCTTTTGTCTTGCGAGGAAGGGGATAAGAAAACTTCGCGTCCCTATTCTTCCAGATCAAACACACACGAAAGCTACGAGATATCTCGTAGTTTGTGCCCATTATTATTCTCTTTAATCTTAGGTAACACGTTCACAACTTCACATCACATATGCGTGACACAGCAGTTCGTTTAAAAAGTCCAGCGTCACATATGTAGACAAGGACTTTTCGAAGTATTGAACAATTTTAACAGAGGAAGCTGAATAATACATGGAACTCTTAAATGCTGGGGAAAAAGGAACTTGCGTACTAACTTCTTGTCATTTGAATAATTAACTTATTTGTTTAGAAGTTTATATTCTTAGATATGGAACTTTGACGTCGCTAATATGACGACATCCGTCTCCAAAGGGTTAATGGTTCAAATCTGCTTGGGAGATCCTCTGTAGCGTCCTTGTACGCCGACGTCCGCGCTCGTTTGCGAGTACAGGAGTCGCTCGATTACGCGTCGCTTCGTTACCGATGATATCTGCTCTCCCTCATAGACCGTTACCGCGTCTATGTTTTCATTAAAAGCATCTCGCGCGCTGCACGTAACGCTATCGTCGATTATTAAAATAAATGGCAACGGTGGAACACCGGTTCGATAATCACGCGCGGTTAATGCCTTCCACTTCTTCGACATGCACGGAGACATTAATTAAACCTATTTATGATTAACGACTGCTGCAACCTGGTGGTTGTAAAATTAGAATAGCGCTGGGATCGACGGCTCGGTTACTTGGGATTGGAAAGTTTAAGCTTGTTCAGGGATTCCTACGCGTTTTAATTGTAAATTATATTTTCATGTTTCTAGGAAGATTCGATGAGAATTGTCGGCAGTTTATAATCTTTTCCTTAAAAATAATTTTCTCTTTTTCCTTATGTTTTGTATTTTCCTGTATGCTGCCTTGTATTATTTTTATGCAATTTTCCTGCGCTTTTAGTAGTCGCGTGACTTACACGTTAATTAATTAGTAATTTGCATATTTATTAAAGAGTGACTAAAATGTAAATTATACAGGTGACTTAAAGACACATTCCTCGGTCCAATGTTTATTATTTGAATAAGATTTCATTGTAGTAATACTAACGAATAAACAAGTAATCTTTATTCGATTATTTGTTATTACCTGTGAATGATGAATGCATTAAGTATCCGTTATACGCAGATAATTTTGAATAACTTTCGTCCAACGTTGCATATAATAACAGAAAACAGTGTTGGACAACAGTTATTCAAGACAACGAATAAAAAGCGAAGACTAAAACCAATTACTTTATTACCTGCGAAATGAGGAATATATTAATTATCCATTATTCGCAAATGGCAAACAAATTGAATTCATTCGTCACTCTTTATTCATCATTTTGAACAACTTTCGACCAACACTGCCTCACTCAGCATATCCATTAAAACGGTAGACTCTCCGAACTGTACGACGAAAACCACTGAAACCAGGTTTCGAATATGGAGTTTCGAATCGTTGAATTGTGTTCGAACGTAACGCGACCGTGGGACGCGAATATGTGAATAACATCGAGGCTACCACGGCCGATCGTGTAAGTTCCGGTGGGCGGCGTAGGCGTTCGCCAGGTGGACGTTCACGGCGCGTTAGCACGCACGAAGATCGTCCTTACCGAGATCGATCGATGAACCTCGATCGCCCGTCGCCTTCCAAGCCCACGCGGGATATCCTGCGCGGTGCAGGCTTAATTGGTCACTCGGCAGCGAACGAACCCGTGTTCGCTGATGTTAGAACATCGCGGGTACGCTAACGTTATCGAACGCAACACGACCGCTTTAATTTATCAACGTGTTTCAATCCATCTACATGTACTAGGTTGGAAAATACGACTGAAAGATCTATTCAACGAATTCAAAAATGAGTGGTTCGGAATAATAGTCCGAATATTATTTCTTAGTTAGAAAAAGGCTTTGTGAAATTACCTAATCAAATGTTGCAATGTTATTGATAATATTAATTATTAGTGTTAGTAACATTGGTAACTGTATTAATGAAAATGATAACAGAATGGTAATTGTTAATGTTAGTGATACTGGTATTTGTGTTATGGAAATGATCGTGGAATAAATTTATGAAGTTTATAAAATGTACGAAGTTTAAAAATAATGTGGAATATAAGTACTTTTATAATTTTGAAATATAAATAATTAATTGTGAAATAAGAAATCTAGAAATACTCAATGATTCTGATGGACGTAATGGTTCCAATAAAGAATTAGTTGACTTTATCAATTTACCAAGAGCCTACAGAGACTTGTTTCAAAACGCTTGGAAGCAGTTTTTATCGACAAATTATCGCACTTGAAATGTTATTATACCTGGCTTTAAATACTTTTCACGTATACACGTTCTCGTCTTCTTTCAAATGCCAACTAACTTTGTAATAATTTATCTGGAGTAATGCGCATCGTATGTTGGAATATTTATATATAGGATAAATATTATAGTATACTAATATATAATAAATACATTAATATTATAATATTTATTGTTATTTTATTATTGTATTAATAACTGACATGAGCCGACCTCATTTACATTATCAAATACCTATATTTTCAATTGTTTTCAATGATACACTGAATCTTGTATATAGGTCTATCTAATTATTCTCTTTATACGCCTTTACTTCAACAATAATTTTTTCTTCTCAGGTACCAATGACATTTACAACTCTGTTTATAATAAATATATAAAAAATAGTGTTATAAATTCTATCTATATTATATACATTATAATATTATAAATTCTATTTACAACATATAAATTCATAATATATAATATATAAACTACTAATAACATAACAATTCTTTTAAAAAACCTGGGCCGTCCCTCCCAATTTACCCTATCTCTATCAACAGCTTTTCCTTCGTCCGATTCCTGGTGACGACTCAAAGATAACGGTGGAAGAGAAAAGACGAGGCAGAGTCCCATGCATGCGCGAGCGCACACGTGACTGACAAATAAGAGAGCACTTGTCCAAGAGAGGAGATACTCACTTGGCGTACGCTTTCTCCAGAAGAGCTGGCCAGAATTGATCACTGTGACGGCTTTGCACGAAAGCCAGCCGCCCGTGAATCGCTGGCAGCCTGTCGTCGACGAGAACCTCGACCCACGCGCCGCACCACCATAGCCGGAATCTGAATACGCCGGCGTATTCGGCGGTCGGCGATCCCGAGGGCTCACCGGTGCTCCCGAAACCTTGGTCCGCTGGTACCACCCGGTAGAAGAGTCCTTTGCTCAGGTGGAGAACGCCCAGGCAGGACACCAGCCATTTGTCGCCTGAATCCGAAAGAGACGAAGGTTAAATATAGAACAAAAATTGTATTTAACACGTTGAACGCTGCACGATTTCATAGAGCAAAAATACACAAAATGGAAAAAAAAATATTAAATCATTTGACTGAATTGAATTATTATCATCCGCACGTTCATCAAATTGAATGTCACCGCAATGGGTAGCATTATTTATAATATAAAAATGTTTGCGAATAATCATCGTTTAATTGAGTGAATTATAGTAATTCAATTTGCTTGGGGGTAATGTCGATAAATAAGTAAAATTTGTAGAAAAAAGTTGAAAATTCAATTGTTTGATTATAAAATTGTATCACTAACGATTCATTGAAATTTATGACGATAGAACGATTGAAGATTGAAACATCGAATAACAAGTAACATTTTTAGGAAAAAGAATTGGAAATTCAATTATTTCATTATAAAATTGTATTACTAACAGTTAATTGAAATCTATAAAATCAATAGAATCACCAAGTAACGCTTTTCAGCGGCGACTGTAAAAGGACTGTGTGCTTACAATCCTGTAAGACCTATAGAATAGTATCTTACTAATATTTTTAGTGCTCGAGTGACCTGTAATGTAATACATCAATCTATGGAGCAGTTTATTTACATTCGTCGTATTTAAAAAAGCAGTCCCTCTTTGAGTAAAGGTATGCGTCTCCAATTTTTGGAGTAATTTGTTTTCTAAAAGAAATGTTTCCTTCCGAATATTTAAGTTCAATTCGAACGTTGAATTTTAGAATACTTAAATCGCGCGATTCTAAAGGCTGGATCCGTGCGATTAGTTTCTTCGAGAACGAAAGTGAATCGCGACACGTCGCTCTTCGATCCCAGAAAATGTTCTCACGATCTTGCGACACACCGAGCTACGATTACGAATCTGTTCTGGCTCCGTTGAAGTTCATCGACGGGAAAAAGGAAGAATCGCCGAGACTGTTCCATAATTTATCGAACAATTTTCATACACCTTCACGTGATATTCATAGATTCTCACGTTCGCTTCTCCTATTCCGCTACAAAATTTCCGTCTGCTTCCTTACGTAACATATCACAGCTTAATTACTCCGGGAGAAATTTGTTCAAATTCTATTCGGATTAATGAGGAAACATTGAATTCGTTGGCTTACAAATTATGATTAACGAATGTACACTTTCGATCTTTCGATGTAGTAAGGTAACTGCACCTATGTAGTATGGAACAGCTGATTTGGAAAGCTTGCCAAAGCGAGAGATATGCATTTTTTTCAATAAAACTTATATCAAAACACGAAGAAATTAATAAACATTCATGTAAAGATCGATAACAATGCATTGAATGTCTTCAGATCACAGTAAAAAATGTAAAGTCGTAAACAGCAATTTGAAAAATTGTTCCTAATATGGAACACCTAGGTAATTTGTAAATAAAACTCATTTTAATCACGAGAAATGAATATTTATGGAATTAAAAAAAATAAATAAACAAATTTTCCACTTTTTTGAATTTATATTATATTTATTTTTTTCTTTCTTTCTTTTGTACATTGGACATATGAATAACACAACAGGATCACTACATTCTTCGTGAACACGATGTTTTATATATGTTTTTTCCATTATTATCATTTTTGTAATTGTCATAATAAAATAAAAATATAACATAATAATATGTAACATTAACAAAGCATATAACCCACGTATTCCGGTAGAAAAATAATAACTATTCTAAGAAGAAAATAAAGAAGCAAATTGCTTCTGAATAGTGGTAAATAAACATGTTCAATGATAAATCATGGAAAAATAAAATTTGTTAGTCTGTCTATATTAAGAAATTTGATTATTTAATTTGCCTTTCAGAAAATTTAACGTGCTACCAAACACAATAATGCTTCGCAATTAATGATAATATGATTGATAATATGATAGCTATTAATATGATTGTTTTCTGTTACTAATAAAGTGTTTCCCACGGTAACTAACACATGAAACTATTTATTTTCTGAAATATTCTATACAATAAAATTTCTTTACTATAAATTGCTGTTAAATCTGGAAAATTTAGAAATCTTCGCCACAACTCGCATTGCAGGGCAAGGGGTTAATTGATTTATAATCTCCCCCTAAATTCCATAAGATGTCTACATCTCCCTGGAAAACGTTGAATACTTCCAATGAAAAATGTTTCGAATACGAAGGGTTAAAAATAACCGTTCTTTTCCCCGAATCAACAACGAAAAGGTAATAAACGATATCGGGATCGGTTGCATAACCGAGCACACGTAGACGAAAATATGACCACGCCGCTCGCGGTAATTTTCTCCTCAAATTAACTTCGTTCGGTAAATTGGCGTTAATACAACAGCGATCGATCATTTCACGTCCCGCGTAATTGCAGCTCGATTAAATTGTGTC